TTAGCATGAACTATTTCACACGCTTCAAAAGGACGGTTAGCATTCACTTGTTGACATACTTCAAAAGGACGGGCGATGAACATGCATTGCAAATGATTAGTATAGCATGTTTTGATTCGATAACAACCAGGGAACCAGTAACTTCGTGGTTCAATATACGATATTCTGATCGACACTTTTGTGTTTTCATGTTTATATTTGATACTTCGCACAACTAGATGGTGAAAAACGAATGGAATTAATGGGATGGACTGAAATTTTCCTTCGAAAATCAATTCACACGCTCCAGAGGGACGCCCTCTGTTGATGTGATTTTTAAAATGAGCTTATTTTGGTGTCCTTTTTAGGGTTGTGATCTTTGTAAAACTCGCCACTCCGCACTCCTTCACACTCTTCAAAGGGACGCCCTCTGTTGATTTAATTTTTAAAATAAGCTTTCTTTGGCGGAGTCCTTTGTACGCATTGTACGCATAATAGTAAACTCTAAACCCTTTTTTTTTGTTTGTTTGTTTTTATGAACTAGAGCTAACTAAACAGTCATTTTTCACTTTTTCATCTTTTTAAAATAAAATGACGTAAAGTGACGTAATGATGGTGACATTATAAAAGTAACCACTAATACGAATGTATATCAGCGAAATCTAAATTCATGCTCAAATCAAGTAAGGTTAATAATCGGCCCTTGTGACGTCACTATAAAAAGTGAGCATTTTCGTAAATGAGCTGATGACCTCACCAAAGTGAAATCCAACATAATCTAACTAAAATGTATATACATTCCAAAGATAGTTCAATGTATAGAACTAATGAACGGTACTAGTGAAGCCATGGTGCAAGCGATTGTATACATTTCCTTTAACGATCAGATGACGTCATCAAATAATCTCAGCCATTTATATTAACTGAAATATATTTTTACATGTTCATATCGCCGGATGGAGTTATCAAAGTAATCTTAACCATTAATTAACTGAAACATGTATGCATGCATGCTCATATCACCGGATGGAGTAATTGAATGGTACTGGTGATGCCACGGTGTAAGAGATCGTACATTTCCTCTGATGACGTTATCAAAGTAATCTTAACCATTAATTAACTGAAACATGTATACATGCATGCTCATATCACCGGATGAAGTTATTGAATGGTACTCGTGATGCCACGGCGTAAGAGATCGTACATTTCCTTTAGCGATCTGATGACGTCACCAAATAATCTCAACCATCGATCAACTGATTTAAATGTTCAACACCCATTCATAATAACTAACACTGGGTTAGTATTGAGTTATTGAGTGCTCCTCGTGACGTCACTATGCAAGAGATTATA